GTGTGTGTGTGTGTGTTGTGGGATATAGAAGAACGCAGCCCCTCTTCTTGTTCGTGAGCGCAGATAAAAGTGTCCAGCTCTCCTCTTCCTGGCAGGAGTGAAATAACAGCTTGTTCAGCTATTATCGCTGTGAGAGTCATCAAAAGGTCAACATGCATTTTCTATCATATGCAAACTTATATCATTAAAAGCTTATACTGACGACTAAATACAATTTTCCATTGTCAGTGTGAGAGTTTAGCAGTTCGAATTAGTTAGTAGCTGCTCTGTGTTTATATTCTTGGACTGCTGGTGGAGCTTTGCATCATTCACAGCTGAAAATAATTCATTATTCGTCTTATAGCGAGCGTTGATGCATGACCTCGGTTCATCCTGAAGTTTCGGCTCCTCGCCCTCTGAGGCCGCGCTCACTTTTAGCCAAACAGCAGGCTGCGTGCAAAGACAGTCTGAGGTCCGAGCTTCTGCACACGCTGACCTGATTATTTAAAGCAAGACAGCGTCTCTGTAGGCGCGTCTGCAATCCAGAAATGTCACCCACTGAAAACATTTGGCTGATTATGAACCTGGAAACATGACAGAAAAGTGTTTATCACAGAAGAGAGGAAAAACGTTCAGCATTCAGAATCACAGGAACCAGTCTCAGGGCCTCATTAAAGAAGAGGAAATCCTGCCCCGTCCCAGCGAGTCTGGAATATGTTGCTGTCTTTATCCAAAAAACAATAAAGCTGAGTTTAACTTTGATATTTTGTCTTTGTACAATCTAAAGTCAATCCAGTGAGGATTGAGGTAAAGCAGGGCAGCTAGTAACTTGCAGTCTCCACACCAACGTATCCTTGAGTCGCACACAAACCCCGAGATGTGTGTGACTGTCACGTGTTGTGTAAAGAGCTTTGTGTGCTCGAGTAACACTAAGAAACAATATGTTTAAATTATTGCATGACCTTATTTTAATCGACCTTTTTAATAGCAGGTTTTAAAAATTCAATATAAAGAAGATGAGGAGATACGGCCGCCATCGTTTAATTCCCTCCTCAGGTTGTAATATTTGCAGATAGCTTTCAGCTGACAGTCATTACCCGAATTCATCAAACAGGTTTTTACTTCCTGCTGCTTCTCGTCTCACAAAGAAACTCGAGAGATTTAGGGAGACAACTCGGAGTAATGAGTCTCTAGGGCATTTTTATCTTCTGACAATGAGGGGAAGGGAATGGACCACGATAAAGTAGATAAGAGAGGAGACGAGATGAGGAGACAACACAAGAAGGAGATGAGAAGAGGAAATGAAATCAGACAAGAAAGCAGATGAATACAGAAAAGGAGAGGAAACAAGGACAGAGTGTAGTGAAGGAGAGGATATACAGTAAGGAGAGGACAGATAAATGAGAGTGGATGAGAGCAAGATAGGATAGAAAAGGAAACAAGAAGATAACAAAGGAGATTAGACAATGAAGGAGAAAAACAAGTCGATAGAGAAGGAAAGGAAGCAAGGAAATGGTGAAAAAAGGAGTAAATTGACAAGGAGATAAAAGAAGGAAACAAAATGAGAAGAGGTTAATAAATGAAAGGAAACAAAGAGAAAATAGGAAAGAAGGAAATGTTAAAGGAGAAGAAGCAAGGACTGAGTGTTGAAGGAGATGAAAAAAGGAGGGCAGTTGACAGTCATTGGGGCAGACAGTGAAGAAGAGGAAACAATAAATGAGAAATGAAGCCAGGACAGAGGATAGTAAAGGAGACTAAAGACCTGAAAAGGCGAAGTGAAAATAGGAAGCAAAAGGAGGAGAGGAAACAGTGAATGATGATGAACCAAGGAGGGGAAAAGGAAACAATAAGAGGAGAGAAATGATCGACCCCTCGGCTAATATTGTGTGTCTCTCTTTCGCAGCATCTTTCTAGCAGACACAGCGTACAGCAGAGCACCACACAGGTACGTGGACGTACTGCAGTAACGTGCGTCTCATTTACTTCTCATTTCAGAGGCCCAAACTGATTTATGGGACACAATTAAGATACTTCCAGCAGAAAAAACTGCTACAAAGTAGTAGTAGTATAGTAGTAGTATAGTAGGAGTATAGTAGGAGTAGTAGGAGTACATTTTACAGAGTAAAGAGCCTGAACTGGGTCACAAAGAGAATCCTTGGAAAAGATTTCCATATATCATTCATGTCATCAAGAAACTTTTCTCGTGCCTTTTATCATTAAAAATAAATGGAGATATGAATTAAAAGCATTTAAACAGTTCTGTTCTACAGTATTTACAAGCTTAGACCCACAGCTGTGCTCTGCAGCACTCTATCATACTCATTTATACGCTGATACTTTCATCACAGAGTGTGAGTGTGACTCTCAGGCATCACGCTGAGACGGTGTGCAGATTTAAACTGCAGCAGCATCACTTTGATGCTAAAGAACCAGAAATTTAATGCATGTTTTTGAACATATGTGTAAAAACCTTTTTATGTACTTACACATCAAGTTAAAGTTGAATAAAAACTTAAGAAGATTTCATAGTTTACAGATGTTTCTGTTCAGCCAGGAGGCTTTGGTGTATATGTTTACTAAGACTGTCACACAATGTCTTCATAAAGTGTTTGTATTCTGATATGTGTATTTATATATTTTGTTTGTTTGGCTGCTTTGTTTGTGTGTTTTAGGGCGACAACGCGCGGCAGAGACATGGGGAACCCTGTAGAGTTCCAGTACCTCATCACCTGCTGGTCAACCTGAAGAGCTTCACCTACAACAGCATAGGCGAGGACACGGACATATTCTTCTCCCTGTACGACCTGAGAGAGGGAAAGACCCTCAGGTAGGTGGCAGCTGAACAGAGGTGCAGATTTCCAAAAAGTGTGGGTGAGACTCTTTACTCGTTTGATGTTTCGCAGTAGCGTCTCTGTGATGATTAGTCTTTTCATATTTGTGCTGTAAAGCTAGTTGCTGTTCGGTCAAGTCAAACTGCACAGAAACATTTTCCACAACAGTTTGTTTTTCACTATAATAATCATTATTTTTTAATTTAGCATTACAATAAATAAATATCCTACCAATCAGCATTCATTGCCATTTTATTCTTTTATAACTTCAATATTGATTTGTGGACAAAAGCCAGAATTTTCAGTCCCATGTTTGGTTTCTTGACATTGTGACACGACGCCATCACAGGAGAAACACCCTGATTATCAGCAGCAGGTAAAGCTGAATGTCAGCAGCACAGCAGGAGCAGCAATTATCCTTCAAATGAGCAAAGAGGAAACAGATGCAAGGAGACGCTTACAGAGGCAAAAAGTCTGTAACTACGCTAAGCTAGGATGCTAAGCTAGGATGCTAACCTGAAGCAGACGACCTCAGCTCTATGTGGCCCTGAAAAAATGACCCTGTGTCCCAATAATGACATTCATATGTTACTGAATTGCTTTCTATGGAGCCCCTCTGGTGACATGAGCAGTGTTGGTCAAGTTACTTGAA